TGTTCATCAGCAACATGACATAAGGTTGGGTGGACTCTACCTGAGTTGGTAATCCCACAGCTACGGAACGATTGTATGCGTAATTCGTGCGTCTCAGGGCGCAAGGTTGCCAAAATAATATATTGGATTTCAGAGTGAATTTCGGGCCCCATTGTGCGTCCGGGCCCTAGGCGGCCGCCTAGCCGCCTAGTGGTTAAACCGACGCTGTAAACGACGCCGACCGACGCTTCGAAAATGTTGATAATATTCGGGTCTATTCTGTAACTCAAATCGAATCGACAATCGAAAACTTGAATAACTGTGGACATTTTCCCACAGTTATCGATTCAAGTTTTCGATTGTCGATTCGATTTGAGTTACTGAATAGACCCGATTGTTGGTTATGAGACTGGAATTCCGTTCTTTGAGGTATTTAACCAACGCCAACAAGCCTTTAAAACATGGAAGATGCATAATATCAATTTTGATGTCGGAAAGTATTTTTTCAACACATTTCGTTCGCTAAGATCATCATCAGTCATTATTACCGCGGTCTGCAATTTGACAGGCATTAGGTATATCAAGTAATGCTTCTATGGCTGCATCAAAAACTTGTAACGTCTGACTGAAACTGCATACTGATGTTCTACAGAGCCTCTACTGTCTACATCATGCCTGTAATTATGTATTCCATGAAAATCTGTCGTACATGGAAATTCTTTGTCACCTTAGCCTTCGATTTCTCAAAAAAACGTTGGATTTTTATGGTTAAAGGGTTGGACAATTTTAGTTTCTGATTTTTTTTTTCTGACGCCGTTCTTTTTTTAAACACCTTGTATTAAAACGACAGTAATAATATCGCTTAAAAAGATTGCGATAACGTTCAGTGCACTTGAATGTTTTATTTATGCTCCAAGCTACACTATACTTGACCTGTTTCCTGAAGGTCCATAATCCACTTTCGAAATAAAAAATATGCAAAAAAAAACATGCAGACTTACCCATCCGCCTAAAGCCATAGGTATAGTGCTCATAAGTTTGCATTTCAAAATTAATTAATACCCCGAAGACCACCACCCATAAGTATAGGAAGATATTGGGAAAATATCATTGAAATTAAACAAGGATTCCGAGACAAATATCATACAAAAGGTGGTCCATTTAAAATAACAAAGCTGCAAAGACTTTTCAGTAGAAGCAACAACACCGTGTAATTGAATTGTGATACATTTCCTATATCTTCTACATCAACAGAGATAAATACGTCAATCGAAATGGATATTTTTCGAAAAGACCGCTTACTCTTATCTATAGCCGAAAATTATTAAGTAACGGAATAAGGGCAAGTGAATGAATGGAACAATTTATAAGTACCTACACTTGTTTATTTATCTTAAAACGACAGGATTAGAATTATGTATGGGCAATGCTTATGCTTGTTGGATTTGAATTTCTATAATTGTCCTCAAGCTTCTGTTATCCTATTGAAGCTGTCGGTATAATCAGTCCGACGCGAGAGCTCATTTGAGTGACAAAGACAAAGAGAGCTGCTCTCTCGTGTCCTAACTTATCAGGAAATCATAAACGTACCGTCAAAGGTACCGTGTTTTAATTTGAATTACGTTTGCGTCGCTGGTTACCGTAGTCTCTTATGCTGACGGCGAACTGTGAGGCAGATGGCGAGTGTAATAGTATATTACATGCGGAGGTGGAAAGTGTTCCATTATTGTCGAGAGATAATATGGTTGACCGAGGTGCGAAGTGCCGAGGTCAACCGTTTCTCGAGACAATAATATGAAAACTTTCCACCGAATTATGTATACTATTTTATTTTGAACCATTAATTATTGAATAAAATAAGGTAAAAATATGACAAAAATGGAATTTTGACTGACAGTCTGACACCGACATTGACATCTTAGGAAATTTCAAGAATATAAACACATGTGACATCTACTTCTAAATACAAATATTGCACCTGGATTTGTGTTTAGGTGTGAAAGGACAATTTATCAGGGCCGAAAGTGAGTTCTCCAGGCCGAAAGTGACAGGCGGACAGTCACTTTCGGCCTGCTTTAAAGTAAACAAAAGTAAAGTGAAATTTTTGAAACTTCAAACCAGTAAGAAATGTGGAAATTACATATATGGTTCAAAATAAATGATTTTATGGGATTTCTAATATTCAGTTGGCTCGACGCAAACGCAAATGGAATCTCGACGGTGAGTTTATAAATTGGGCTTAAGGACCCAGAAGAGCTTTCTCGAATAGGGGCACCGGCACTGGTTGAAGTTTGTCACGATTCATTATTCATATTATTTAATTACTGGCCCAACCAAAGTTGAACGTTGAAGGTCACTTACTCATCCTTGTAATTATAGGATTCACACGTTCGAGCCTATTTTGGTTTGATAAACACAGTGCGCGTGCAATAAAGACAGCAGCGAAAAGCAACGTCTGTGATATATTCAAGTAAGTGACCTTCAACGTTCAACTTTGGTTAGACAGAGTTTTTCTGCGGGTTGACAGATCGTGCTGCTGGAAATAGGAACTTTACATGGTATTGGAAGCTATCAGCAGGCATATTTCTGTCTACATGACTGGGAATTTTATTCCAAGATTATAATCTTTCTCTACTTTCATAAAATCCTGAACTACCCATATTTTTAAATAAAATAAATAAAAATGCCTAAAAGATTCAACAATGATAATTATAGATTTATATTTAGGTACCACGGTTAGTACCGTAGGTTTGCAAGTAAATCCCTATGGCAAAAGCATCAATAGTTTTGTGAAGTAACAAAGTCTTAAGTCTTCAATAAATTGTCTTTCCAAATTATTCAAAGTCGAGTACTTATTGGGTTTTTTGACAAAATTAATCAGTAGCAATTATTCTACCAAAGGTAAATTATTAAATAAATTAAGTACCATAAATGTAGACAGTTCAATCAGAGTTCAATAGTAAAAGTGGAATTCAAAAAAAAAAAAGTTATACTTTTAAATAACATATAATTAACAAATATCATAATAAAATATACGAAAAAAAATAAAAAAAATACAGATCTAACAAATAATGTTACCCAACAATAACGGAATTGAATCCTAAGCAAAAAAATAATATGTTTGTATAAATTATACTTATGATTCACATAGGTATTAGAGATTGAACGTTTGAAATAAATACATAACAAAAAATGTACACGCTGGTCCAAAATGGATAGGAAACATCAATTTCTGAGCGAAAATGAAACCTAATGCTCCGAAGCCAAATTTCATGAAATTTTTATTGGTGTAAACCACATTTTGATACCTCAAACCGTTTTGCCGCTAAAGGGCGTTTCTCGATTTTGAGCAATGCTATGAAAGCTTCATAACTTTTTTGTTTATGAAAATAAATGATCAGGGCCAAATAGAAAAAAGCTGAGAAAGTAACTGAATTCTGCTAAAAAAGGTGCTTTTAGAAAGTTTTTACGGAAATCAATTATTTTCATAAGCAAAAAAGTTATGAAGCTTTCACAGAAACGTCCTCTAGCGGCAAAACGGTTGAAGATATTAAAATATGGATGTCTATCAAGTTAAATAGCAATACCACATGCACGCCGGAAAATGGCGTTAAGTGATTGATATGTCTGCTAACTTGATGTCAAGCTAGCACTACCAGAGGGTATTTAAGAAAAAAAAAAACGCAACAAACTTTTTTTTTGCACGACAAATTTACGACAAAAAAGGTTCTTATTAATCACTCAACACCAATGAAGATTCCACGAAATTTGAAACTCAGAGTGAGGTTCACTTTTTTTGTATCTCGCTCAGAAATTGACGTGTCCAAATTGGACCACCCTGTACGTAATTGAGAAGTTTTTTGGTTGTTAGGCCATCGTCGGTGGTTGTTGATGTTCCTCTAACATGGGCGGCTGTCTTCTTCCAAAGTTGCCATATGAACTTCCCGCAAGTAACTCTCCACGAGTTGACCAACACCAGCTTAACAACCCAAAACTTTTCAGTTATACGATGATGGTCGTCAGAGCCATTTACAATGTAAACATGTTTGTTCTAAATTAACTACAATATGATCTATTGTTTTTTCAACAAAATGCCAAGTTTGCTTGAAAAATACTAGGCACCATAGGTACAAAATAAATTGTTTGCAAAATTATCTTAGGAACAAGTTGGCACAAAGGCTGGCTAGCTAAAAATATTTATTTCCTACATTATTTTACAATTAAGAGAGAGAATATAGCAGTCTTATGTATCCCTATTTCACTAAGTTATGTATATAAATTAATAAGTTTGGTTGAACATAATAATATGGAGGTAAGCAGCTCACTTGAACAAAACTAAGGTTTATAATATCAAAAATGCAGTATATTCAGTACCTACAAAGCTTAGAAAAGCAATGTTTTATTTGAACAATGAGTGAAAAGAGAGTAGAGAGACCACACTATACATACTCCGGCCCGGCTCCATCTGAACCGGAGCTCCATGCCGTTAGAATACTTTTCTCATAATTAGCGCTGTACTAGAGATAAGTGACTTCTTCTAAACCGTAACAAAACGAGATTAGTATAACTCCAAATATTGATATATCAATACTTTTGCTGAATCCGACGATAAGATATGCGACTGTGGTCACGCCAACGCAAATGGCTACTCGTGTGTTCACTACAAACTTACGGAGGGTAAGAAAGGAAGTACCAGTTTCACGAGTAGAGCCGGAAGAATGTCAGCCAACAAAATTGTTCCGGTTGATATGTAAGCTCAATTTCTTATAGTGCTCAAAGCTGTGCGGTACTCTAATACAAGTACTCTTCAGCCCCTCGCTTGTCATCCTAGTATTCCTTTCTACAGCACTAAAGCCAGCACAATGTAGATGTTCAGTATGTAATAGTAAATAACTTGTGTTGTCAAAATTATCACATTGATACCCTGCAATAACATCAGTATCCATGTTTGTTTTATGTGCCATATCGAAACAGACGATCGTGATGTAAAGATTCCCACTTGATATGTAACTTGCATCAATCTATACTGGGATTCTAGATTCTACTGATATTGAAGCGTCAGGAAACTTAATCAGTTCAAATGTGCCCTGATTAATGAAATATTCAAATAGGTAAATGAGACCGAAAGGTATCATGTATTTCATTAGACCAGGAATAAGATAATATTTCCTTCTCAAAGACATCTCCTCGTTTTCGAGTTTAACTTGATCGTCCGGTTGTCCAGCTTCTTCTTCAGTGGAATCTTGTGGGGTTAATGGTTTCGGTAACAATATCCAAAACGGCAGGGATGTGATGGCTGGTATGGTCAGCATTATCAGTAATGTTGTTTTCATACCTACAGCGAGTATGATACGGCCTGAGCGGGATCCCACCGGGATTTGCGGGATTGAAAAGAACTGTACTTTATGGTGAGGGCCTGGGATAAACTTTCTCGCCCTAATCCGAAGTTGTTTACAATTTTTCAATTTTGGCAGTTTTGTTCCAGACGTGTAGCGGGCAGTGCAACAAATTCTTAATTCTGGTTAAGTTAACAAAATTCACCTTTTTAAGTAGGTATTCAAGTTTAAATAGTTATCATTATGTCAAAAACTGTAGCTCTGTTCCAACCGACATGAGAACCGTTCTAGAACGGTAATTTTCAGTCGATCAATCCATTTGTCAAGTAGGACAAACGTTCGACTTATTGAAAAATAGGTCGGCAACTGAAAATTAGTGAAATTACTAGTTCTGGAATGGTTCTCATGTCGGTTTGAACAGAGCTACACAGTTTACAACATAATGATCACTATGTATTTAAATTTGAATACCTACTTGAAAAGGTAAATTTTGTTAACCTGCAGAATGCAAGTTGTGTAAATCAACAATTAAAACGACAGGACGTCTGCGCAGTTATTTTCGAAATAATATCTTCTGACTTGTTTATGTTAATCTTTTAATAATAATGTTTAATTATCTTTGAAAAACATTAATAAATCATTTGATATTTGTTCAATTTTAGTCAAAACCCTTCAAATATGGTACTATATTATGATTTATTCTCAAAGAAACACTGAATTTTGCGGGATCCCGCAAGATTGAAAATGTCCCTCAAATACCGGGATTGGAATTATCTTGCGGAATTGCATTCCCTAGTCCTCAAATGCCACAAAGAGATTATTGGTAAATGCGCTGAGTATAGGCACAGAAAATTTAAAAAAATATGCATTTTAGTTTTGACATGGCATAATGTCGTACAAAAGAGGTATAATTTTTATCATATTATTATACAAAACATGAAAAAAAAATGGCTGGATACATATTTCACATTCTAAGAAACATATCAAATTCTATTAGATTAATTTTTAGTTTCTAGTTGCTTACCTCCTTACTATAATGCAAAGAATATAATATTTTATTTTGATAATTATTTATTTTCAGAGAAGAGAGCAATTTCGATGGGATTCTAGTGTAGCCGATAGTTTCAGTTAGTTTTATTTTTTTCCCCCTGAGAAAAACTAATAGCGATTTCCATTTGTATGCTTTGGTTGCCTTTTCTTAGTTATCATATTTTTTGAGTGCAATTATCCATTCACTATATCTTTCAGTACACTGGCCAATGCCCGATGTTTGAATAAAAAAAGGAACGCCTTATCAATCCTTTTTCTTTGATGCTCGTTTTCAGTTCTATGATGTGTTAGTTGCTTTCAAAGTAAGGTAAATAATTTCATTATGTTTCATTATGCTTTATGTAAAAATCCTGAAGCCTCCGAATGTTCAAAAAATATTACCGATATTTTGACTATAAATAAATATTAGCTATTGAGACTGGTTACTTTCTGTTCAGTTGTTAGTGGCTCAGATGTAGATACATATTGTTCAATAAAAAGTTCAAAACATAGAGAGGAACGAAAAATGTACAAAGAACTAGACAATACATGACAATCACATACAGGGTGTCCACTTAGTGCGATATCGGACGATATCTCCTTACAGGGTGATGCAAGAAAAAAAATTTAAATTACAAAGTTGTTTGATACTCTAATATGCATTAGGTAGAAATATTTTTGAATATACAGGGTGCTCCGTTTATGGGGTATCCGACAGAACTTTATTATTTTAAATGGAACACCCTGTATGTGATTGCATATTTGGATTCTACGTAAAATTGTGAGCAGATTTCATGTAATATACCCTAAACCATAGTTCAACTGTTTTGGAAATATCGACAGTTGAAAATTGACTTTTTGCAACTTTGACAGGCTGTAAAACCTAAACGGTTAATTTTAGACGAAAACCGATTTTACATTCCTGTCTTATATTTTTATAAACTATCATTTGACGCCAACTTTGAATTTAATCTATGATTAAACATTCCAGTTAAATTTAATCTCCGGTTAAATTCAAAGATGGTCTCAAATGATAGTTTATGAAAATCTAAGATAGGAATGTAATGTAAAATAGGTTTTCGTCTCAAATTAACTGTTTAGGTTTTACAGCCTGTCAAAGTTGCAAAAAGTCAATTTTCAACTGTCAATATTTCCAAAACAGTTGAACTTAGGTATAGGGTATATTACATAAAATCTGCTCAGAATTTTACATAGAATCTAAATATGCAATCACATACGGGGTGTTCCGTTTGAAATAACAAAATTCTGTCGCATACCCCATAAACGAAGCACCCTGTATATTCAAAAATATTTTTAACTGATGCTCTTCCAAAATACAATTCAATGTCGCCACAGTTTTTCAAATAATTATTAGCCTTGGATTTTACTTGGTCTGATAGAAATGGGCCAATGTACATTGTTCTGTTATGTAGGAAGTTCTCGGATGCCGTCAACTTTTTGATTTATTGAAATTGAAAAAATTATCGTCCATTAAGGAGTTTGGACATTTTATAGTCGACTATAAATTTGTCTTTGCTTGTTAATATGAAAAGTTAGAAATGTCGTCAGCGAAGGAAAACGTTTAAACAATTGAATGTTTGTATTGACATAGTAGAAACGAATGTTTTGATAGGTTTGATGCTGCACCTGATAAAAGGCGAATAAACCCTTAAGTATGCCTGAATCACTCCGCTCTTGGAACTGAAAAGGAGCACCAATAACGTAAAAATATTCATATATTAAAAATGTTTAAATGAAAGACAAAATGGCATAAAAAAAGTAGGTGAAATCTAGAATCCCATCGAAATTGACACTGTCAGCCGATATTATAATATACAGGGGTCTAACGAGACCACTTTCTGGCGAGCAATGACGCTTAAAAAACACATTCCAATGCATCAATCCAGTCAACGATCAATCAATTTTTATTTTTGACACGTGGAAAAACGCATAAGTATCTCTATTATTTAACTAAACTAGGTACTTCTTTAAAATTTATTTGAGGTTGTAATTTTTGCAACCTTTTATTACAAAATATTTTTTTTGGAAATTTTTCAAAAAAAAAATGAGACGGTATGTATCTGATTGCTTAATTTTTTTCTAGTAAACATTTCTGAAGCTTTTAATGGACGGTACCATATGCTAAGTATTGTCAAATTCTAAATCTAAAAACCTTTGTAAATTTCTCAAAAAGACATACTTTACTTTGCCGCAGTTTGTGTGCTCAAGGGCATCTAAATAGGTTTCTAATGGCTGATAAAACTCTTTATAAACATCACTACCTATTTGAAACTAGAAAAATATTTTTTTTAACAAATATATAAATACATTTCAAAAATAGGTACTTACAGAGTCAAATGCGTTAAAAATGGCCTTAAATACTGGCTGTTTCTCCGAATGAAAAAAACCTCTGGATCCATGCATAACAGCAACACCATCTTTTTCAGCTGATTTGCATATACTTGAGTACATACAATGGTCTGGTCTATAATTATATCTGCACGAGTAAAGGAATAATCTTCCTAGAAGAGTAGGTACAATTCAATTAGTCCTAATATATTATAAATCTTATAAGGCTTACCTGGGTGGTAGTGAAATATTATATTAATTATGTCCTGATCTCCCCAAGTTATGTGTAATTTAAATTTTCTATAAATAGGTACAACATATTCAGTCCATTTAAATGCCCTCATTCTAGTCAGGTTCATTAGCATGACACCTGAATTTACACCTAGAAGAGTTATTCCGAATTACATATAGAATAAGGGTAGTTTAGGTATATATCAGTTCCTCTGTTAGAAATTTGATTTTTGACACATTCAAGCTATCCCAAATTCTCGCTGATCTTTGATAGATGTAAACTGCAATAAATACTAATAGTTTAATCCAATCAAATGTCGACTTTTTCACTAGTCACATATCGGGTCACATTGTGAAAAAAACATGAAATCTACAACCAACATCCAACTAAAAATGTTAGTTCCAGCTGTACCTACCTAATTTTCCATAGTAGGGATGTTTTGCAAACCGATTGTACCATCCGATATTTGAATCTTCGTGTTCAGGCGCCAATGCGGCCATTTGGCTCCTGTTGAATTTATTAAAATACTCCCAAATGCTTTCTACAGGAGTCAAAAATAGTGTGTCTGTATCCATATAGAGTAAAGAATCTACACCAGGTAAAATGTCCTATAAAGTTAAATATTGGAGTAGAATTAACGATCTTTAAATATCATCTAAAAATGTATGTTTTTTTTTTAAATTTTATTCACTTTTAAAAAATAACACAACTTTGGCATTTGAAGATAGGTAGGTATAACAAAAAAAAAAGAAACCATCCGCCAATAAATAATGTAGGTACTCAATAGAAAACAAGGTGTATCTGCTAGTTTCTTGTTTTTTGCCCCACGGTGCATGAGAAAAAGGCTGGAACGTTTTCACTCACAAATTAATGACTAATAAAGAAAAAACAGCTCATTAAAATTTTTGCCATCAAGTATAACTTTATTGTTTAATATAAGAATTTTCTTGTGTTTTTTTTTTTGTTACATGGTCTATAATAAGCCCAAGAACGTACCTACATGCAAAAATGGAAAAACTGAAATGGGAACTTACTGGTAAAAACAATCGCTGAGCAGCACATGGTTTAAACAACTTCTTCCATTCGTTTCCATCTTTGGTTGGAAAATTTAAAGGAAGAACGTTATATGTAAATGCATTATTTGTAAACGATTTCCATTCTTCAAGCTAAAAAAAATACACACCTAGTTACACGTAAATTCCTGATATCATCAGACTCACCTTTTCAGTGAAACTTTCTATTAAATTATCCTCAGCAAGAACAATAAAGTTTAATTTGGCTTTACTAAACATTAGAGCAGACTTGATTAATGTTAACGATTCCCTGAGCCGATCTCCACAGGCCACAACGGCTACCACTATATCATTTCTAAAACAATATAAAGTAGGTACAATGACAGGGTGGAACTTAGACTGTGTCACTGCCATTCAATGCTGGGTTAATCCGATATTAAAATTGATTGTAAGAATAAGAAAATGTCATGAGATATTCTAAATTCTTTTTAATAATTTCTTTATTTATTTCAAGCATTACAAACTTAACAAAAAGCATAAATCCCTAAAACAGAGTAAATTGTACTGGCGCCAAGGATATAACAATCATAGTTTGTAACCCAAGGTGTAACCTTAACCATTTGTTGATAGTTAGCTCCACTGCTACCATTTATAAAGCTCGTTATAGAGAATACAATATGCCTACATATTATAATTTTTTGCCATTCACTGTCAGCTTAGAGCCATCTAGAAAATCTTTAACCTTGCTGAAGCTTCTCTTTCACTCCTTGCCAAGTATCCCTGATAAATCTATGGTGAGTGGGCTAAAGAGTACAAGTCAAAATTAGACAAATCAAGAAAAATGCTTTCGAAGTATCAGACTTTAAAATAATCGGATTTTTTGTGGCTGTTTCGGACGAATCGAGTTTTTAACTTTACAAAGGTTTTTTTTTATTAGAGATAATCTATTTTTTTATTTTTTTTTGTTCTGTTTTTTTTTTATTACAAAAAAAAATGGACTTATACTCTTTTGACCAGACCTATAGATGACATATATTATTATGAAATAAGATAATATGACTTATAATATTTTGACCTGACCTAAGAAATGACTTATACTAGTTTTGCTCAACCCAAAATTTGATATTTGCAAAAACTGGAAAAGAAGGCCAACTCTTTTTCACAAAACCCTTTTTTTTTGCTGATAACATCACCTCTTTGCTCACCAAATGGTACTAAGAGTATAAGTCGACTGATAAAATCAGGATAGGAATAGTATAAGTCTACTTGTACTATTTAAATTTTATTATAGTGTATAATCTAAATAGTACAATTCAACTTATACTGATATGCCCAACAGAATAAAATTCCTTTTAAGTTAAACTATGTGGATTCAAATTAAAATTAAAGTATTTCAAATAAATTGACTCATACTGTTTGGACCAGTCGATGTAGGAACCGAAAATATATACCAAAATGACTTAAACTCATTTTCGCAAAATTTTGACTTGTACTCTTTAGCTCACCCACCATAGAAATATTATAGCAGTATTATCTGCATAGGATAATATATTATATTACCATGTAAATTTAAATTGTTTATTGAGTTTATATACACGTTAAAAGAGCAAAGAGGCCAAAACAGTTCCCTGTGGTATTCCTATTTTAACTGTCTGTTCTATGTGATAATTGAAACTTAATGTCTCTGGCAAACCTAGACACTACTTGCAGAGTAATTTTTTATGGTATGATCATATTACAAAAGTAGCAATGACTTCAATTTCCTTTAAACATTTTCACTTTCCCCTGAGCAAATTTTTTGGCTAGTGTATTTGAAACATTTTGTATAATAGGCCTCACTTTAATAAGAAAGCATAATACAGTATAAATTCTTAACTAGATAAATTGAATCTATGGTCATCTATTATCCGTTACCCTCTCCGAATTTGATGACTTTTTGAAGGAAGGTATATTTTTGGTCGTTAATAACAAATCTGAAATCTGTTTTTGTTGCTCGAATTTCATTTCCGAGATATCCATCATCAGGTCTATTATGTTCTGTTAAGTGCTCTATCTTCTCTGATTTCGCTATTTTTTTTTCTGCACAAGCGCATATTTTTGGTAGCTGACCACGAATCTGAAGTTAGTTTTGAGCGATGTATCAAAAGAGAGCGACATGTTGAAAGAGTGACATTGAAAATAGTGACATCTGAACAAAACAGCGACATATCAAATTGAATTAATAAGAATCAAAATAATTGCAGACTTACCCAAACTTACCAATAATAACCCGTCCGCCTAGTGCCATCTAATCCTCATAAGTTAACATTTTAAAAAAAAAAAAGTTAATTCAGTTATATTGTATAGCGTCCTTTGAGCGCGTCAAGGGGTAAACCCTCGGGTAAACCACTATCGGAAATCATTGTACATTTTTTTGGTAATCATGCAGTAATCACTTAGAATAACACATATCATCATAACCCAGAAATCGCATATCATACATTTAAAATGATACAGCGTACTGGTTGGTTGTGTATATGTCTTTGAAGATTAAGTTTTAGGCAACATTGAGTGCTAGACAATTTGAAATGAATTTGATTTCCCAACGAATTTCCCAATAACTGAGCCAATAACTGAACCCGAGACTACGAAGAGTTTAGAACCGTTTAGAACTTGAAGAAGAAGAAGAAAAATATGATGATTGAATGACAATGTTGTAGTTCATAGAAATGAAAACATGAATCTTGAAAACTCTCTCGAATACGACTTGCCAAAATAGTCGGAGAGCCAGCGCCAAAAAAGTGCAAGAGTCTTAAGAAAGCTGAAAATTTGATATAAGCTTGTATTTGTGATGTATATAACTATACTCCAGTCAGCAAGTGAGGTAGCGGGACAAGCCACGCCCACGCAGCTTTGAATGTGTCAAAAATTATTCGCGATGAAAGAGTTTCATGAAAGCTGAAAATCTGTCTATCCATTGTTTATTTAATGAAAAACATGACGAACATGGTCAGATAGCATTATGATGGGACAACAAGAGTCAGCATGGCTATATTCCGGTCGTATAATAAAGGTAACTCAAACTGTTTCATGATGGTTCAAATTTGGTATGTTATTATTTAATGAAATACTATAATCGACAATAACAGTCAGACTTTAATTTGTTGGAACTTAACCAGTCAGCAATCAATTCAATTTTCAATATTGTATACACACAGGATCCGCAGCTGAGCGCCCGTCGGTCTATAAGTGCTAAACTAATAAGGTTTGGAATTTTGTTCATGTCAACCTATACTGGTCGTGAGACTCTATTTTAGGAAAATATTTTTGAGTATACAGGAAGGCTCAATTGGGCGTGACGATATGAAAGTCATTAATTTTAAATCAGACACCATGTATATGATTACATATTTGGATTCTACGTGAAATTTTGAGCAGGTTTTATGCGATATACCCTTAACCTAAGTTCAACTGTTTTGGAAATATTGACAATTGAAAATTTACTTTTTCTGCAACTTTGCCAGATTTTCATAAATTGTCATTCGACATCAACTTTGAATTAAGCCGGAGATTAAATTAAATTGCAATTTTCAATCATGGATTAAATTCAAAGTTGGTGTCAAATGATAGTTTCTGAAAATCAAAGATGAGAATGTAAGATCGGTTTTCGTCTAAAATTAACCGTTTAGGTTTTATAGCTTGATATTAAAGTTGCAAAAAAGTCTATTTTCAACTTTCAATATTGCCAAAATAGTTGAATTTAGGTATAGGGCATATAATTTAAAATCTGCTCAGAATTTTACGTAGAATCCAAATATGCAATCACATACAGGGTATCTCGTTGAAAAATAACGACTTTCATATCGTCACGCCTAATTGAGCCACCCTGTATACTCAAAAATAGAGTCTCCCGACCAGTATAGGTTCACATATGAACGAAATTCCTGACCTTATTAGTTCAGGACTTATAGACCGACGCGCGCTTAGCTGCGGACCCTGTATGTATACAATATTGAAAATTGAATTGATTGCTGACTGGTTAAGTTCCAACAAATTAAAGTCTGACTGTTATTTTCGATTATAGTATTTAATAATTAAATAATAACATACCAAATTTGAACCATCATGAAACAGTTTCAGTTACCCCTATTATACTACCGGAATATAGCAATGCTGACTCTAGTTGTCCTAACCTAATGCTATCTGACCATGTTCGTCATGTTTTTCTTCAAATAAACAATGGATTGACAGATTTTCAGCTTTCATGAAACTCTTTCATCACGAATAATTTTTGATACATTCGAAGCTGCGTGGGCGTGGCTTGTCCCGCTACCTCACTTGCTGACTGGAGTATAGTTATATACATCACAAATACAAGCTTATATTAAATTTTCAGCTTTCTTAAAACTCTTGCACTTTTTTGGCGCTGGCTCTCGGACTAAAAGAAGGTAGAGAATTTTTTCACACAAATCACACATCAGGGTTTAGCAAATACAATTCGCTAACTTTTGGAAGAGTTGCAAATACAGAAGTTGCCAATTTTTCAGTGGAAACGTGCCCTTATAAGAGAAAAGACTGTTTATTTTGGTCATATCAATGTGAAGCTTAATAATTAGACATCGTTTTCATAATAAAATTAGCTGGGAATCGAATGATTGTAGGAAATCAGGTAATCAATTGGGAATGATATAGGAATTCTCAGAAAAAATGAGAATCACCTGATAATCATACAAAAATGTCTGACAATCATTGGAAATCAGTCGCAATTCTTGGGATGGGAATACATGAGATTCATTGATCAGTGATTGCCAAATATGGAAATCATTGTACATTTGTAAGCATAGTGGTGTCCCCTTGGAGCACGTATTGTTTTTCAAATAAAATGTTAAAAACTTGCGGGGACTAGATCTCACAAGGGGGAGGGGTTAGTTTGGGTAAGTCGTCATTTTCTTGATTATTATTAATTCACTTTGATTGATTCATCACTCATTTTTAAAATTCTTCATATGCGAAGCGCAAAGAAAAATGACTACAGATTTGTGGTCAGCAACCAAAAATATACTTTTGTGAAAAAAAAATAGCGAATTGAGAGAAGACAGAACATGCTAGACCTGATGATGGATATGACGGAAACGAAACGCGAGCGACAAAAACGGTTTCCAGATAATGGATAATAGATAATTACATACCTAGGTACTTACCTTTTGTAAAATATAATTTCATTTGCAGAGTTTTGAATGTTAATGGATAACTCGGAGTGAACATTTTCTCTATAATAATCAATCTGCTTGATACTATATAAATAGAATATTATTAAAAATATTGAAACTATGACTGCTATATTTAAATAAATATACAAACGCATTTTATTTCTCATATTCTTTTTATGGAAATTGATAGTTTTGTTTTATTTGGCATTTTTAAATGTTTATGATTGTTACTAGGGTTTGGTTTGGTTTAGTGGATATTTTCTATTTATGTTTTACATGAGTGGCATTGTGGAATACTAGAGATGATAGAGAACATTGGAAATGAGGAAACCAGATTTAATTTATTTGATTTTCATGACAGCACTACAAAATTTTGAGGAGGAGGGTTTGTTTGTTTTGGTAGTTATAAGTTATGGTTTTCGTTTGTTATGGTTTGGAGGTTAGCTAGCTAAAAATTAGGCAATCCCATGGGCAATCCAAACCCAAACACGTGGCATTCAAGATGGCGTGGCGGCCACCAATGGATCACGAAAGACAAAAAAATATCTAGTTTCTGCCGGACTGGTGCTTACGATTTGTCTGAACCGGTTAGCGTTAGTGCGGTGCAGTTATGTTTTGGAACGCAACCATCTAAACTACACATCTAAATGGAACGTTAAACGGTACGAATGGTGTGAAAAGTGCGACATTAATGACGGATCAGGGTAAAAAAGTGTCAGTAGTTGGACTTATCGTACTCACCTATAGTTTACGTACCTAGTAAACTATTTTATTGAATAATCAGAATCACAGCTCCAAGCAAACCAATTGAAATATGCATGAAAACGGATATTATTCAAAACTAACTTGCTGCCCGCCACGCCCTATTGAATTTTTCGTTTTGTCAGATGGATTGGATTGCCAATAATATCAAGGGCGCGTTCATAAAAGTGGAACATTAAAGTTGTATCCCTTCCAAGAGTTTAGAACACTAGAGCTACTCGCTCCGGTGTGTTAGTCGACCCTGATTTGGAGGGCATAACAGATGCGCTGGCTTTCGTGCATGAAATAGTTTGAGTTCAGGCTTGAGCACTCAGGTGCAACAAAAACTTTTCGAAAGGAATAAACGCGTAACGCCCCGAAGCTGTTCCAGGGCTCCTCCAAGGTGTGAAAGGATTTGGAAGGAATACGACTATATAACGAGTAGGTAGAACTGTCCGGAGTATACCCAGTTTAATAACACGTGAAGTTTAGTCGAACCAGTGGTCAAACTCGTCCGGAACCGTTCAAAGCAGAGAAATTTGTTGTTCGGGTTTTAAAAAAATCAGAGCCGCTTTCCAGTATGGGAGTGTGACGCTCGGAGCTACTCTGAGCGTTGAGCTCCCAAGCTGTACGTACGCGTTAACCTGTCAGCTGTCACATCCGTGGGTGGCTATTTATTTATTTATTTCTTGTTATATCTCGGGATTGAACATTTTCAAAATAAATTTTTGATTCTCTTTCATTTTTGACAAATAAAAAAAACAAACTGCACAAACATGATTATTTTTAAAACTTGACATATTTGACACTAAGACAGGCGTCTCACGTCATGATACTGGAACTGTACAAATCTAGCGCATGGCGCCCCCGAGGTGCTCTAGAGCGCGCCAATGTACATACGGAAAGCATCTCAAGTTGTTGATGGTGGCCGGTGGCTCAAAGACGAAACGTCAGATTTTAACTTTGATGGTAGCATCTTTGTAGAGGAGAAAAAACGGCAACGAGGAAGAGACATTTTGCGATATCATTTCAAATAGAGTCAGAAAAAAATAAAAACCATTTCGGCAAAATTCGGTTTTTTATAGATATGTTCGGATCCATTCATAATGGAGATGGCTCCATTTGTGCTACTGTGCATTTGTGCTAATCCGCAAAGGGAGGATCGCCCCATTTGTGCTAATGTTCATTTGCTCTACCCACCCGAAGTCGCTTTCGGGCGGGACCGTCAGACGAGCCGAAGTCCGACCGGAGTATATCCCTCATCGAAACGAATGCAGTTGTCGCAGAAGCGGCTTGTGGCGCAAATGAGTACAGCGTTACCGTTCCCTCTCTTGCGGGTATTTAAAATAGAAAATAGAATTCTATTTCTATATTATTCAAGTATTGTGAGTCGGTGTGGTGTTTTGTTTACTTTAAAAATGGAAAATTTTAACTTTTAATATTTTATTGGTTAAATAATAATTTACTTTAAAAATTGAAAATATTAATTACATATCATGGTTCACAATTACATGGTTTTGTTTTTTGATTGAAATCCAAAACTTTTACCTTTTTTTTGCTAGCTATAGGTGGCTGTGGTTAGGTCTATTTTACTTGAGATAATAGACTTTCCTTAAATATCAGAGTTCTTTTCATAGATATATTCATCTTCATGTAGGTTCTAGCAATATAATAATAAAGCTCTCCTTGGTGGGTATTTCTTTTTCACCTTTTATTATTAAATAAGAACCTGAAAAATATTTAATTTCAAAATGTCTATTTTCAATATCAATTGGCATTTTATATACATTTGTTACAACATGGATTCAACAATAATAATGATAAATTACAATAAGTACCTACTTTTTAACAATAAATAATAAGTAGGAGGTGAAGTATATGTTTTTACTTGGTGAGTCATTAAGTATACTTCTAATTGTTTTAACTATATCAAACTTTATTGAGTGTTTCACTATTTTGGAACCATGCTTAGTTGTTAAATGCCTTCTCAACTACTGGTTTGTTTTATATGATACTTGGAAATCCTCCATACATTTGAAGAAAGCATCGTCAAAGGCATATTCGGGAACTGTAAAAGAAGGGATTACTCTTTCTCCAGAGAAGCTGAGAGAAGCAATTGTTTCTCAAACTTTACCTATTAAATAAACGTTAACTTAATATAAAATACTATTGTGACTTCTTCCAAGTAATATCCTCACCATTTTTGCAATTATTACTGTTTTCCAAGTGTTTGTTGAGGTTGTATTTTGTAGAAAAAAAACCTTAGCACAAAATTTACAGGTAGCACTATTACTTGGTCCATTTTCCATTATTTCCTAATTCCCAATTACAATAAATTTATTGAAATAACTATTATATAGCTAGTCAATTCTAGAACACCACACCACGAACTATCGATAGTATTTATAGGATAATATTAATACTTAATTAATAATATTATTGAGATAAAAAGCCTAGAGAACACAGAAACAGAAAACAGTAATATCGTTAAACTTTGAAATACGCAAAAATATTCGCGCCAAATACTTTCAAATTCAAAAACAAAAAACATGACCTAATTTTCTCGGCTGTCATAGCCATTAACCCTTTTCACGTGGCTCCGGTTTAACAAACCGCAACATACCGCTCAAATTCGGGTGGTAGGTATCCATCACGTCACTTTGTAACCGGGTTAGAAAACGGTATGTCATTTCTCTAACCGTTTTGTAACCCGGTTATCTAAACCGGAGTCACGTGAAAAGAACTATTGGTCATAGCAAAGGGAAGTTCGCCACGGCAAGGCTGTGACAGAGAGTTGGTTGTCTAATAACAAGGTTACAAGCAACGCGTCATCAGGTAGGCGAAAAATTTGTAAAATACGTTGTTATGGATGTTCCGTTTCAGCTGCCGGATTCTATTTACGAGTCGAGTCGAAATTCGTATCGAATTTTCAAAATAGCGATTCTTTTTAGATTTTTCAACGTCCGGTACGTCCGGAGCTGTCGTATTCGATATCGAGACAATTCGAGTTGACTCGTAAAATAGAATCCGGGGCTGATTTGTTTTGTGATCATTCATAGGTGGGTTCGGCTCGCTAACTCCGTGCACTCCGGTTGACTCCATTCTTACTCCAGCCGTTCGGGTATTGCTTTTTACCGTATTAGAGCCGTTTTACACGGCAAAGTTTCTTCACGAAATTACTTACGAAATTATTGCCGAAATATTTCGTAAGTTTACTATTCTTGGTTTCGCTTTTTCCTGTTTGACACGGCAAATAAAAGTCTAGCAAAAGTTTCGTGAAAATATTAGTCATACGCAGGCGCAGTTACGTTTTGCCATCAATAATATCAAATCATAACCTCATACTTTGATAAATCAAAACAAATAAAACTTCCGTTTTCTAATTGTTGTTGAATCTTTGTACCCTCCTGCAGTTTCATAAAGTTGAATTTATTTTTTCCTTCCATAAATAAAGTTTGTTTTTTTTATTTATTTGCCCAGCTGTTTTTGGGTGCATTAGTTTTTTCACAGATGAGAAGTTTATCCTTATCTATTACATAGGAAATTCAATGACGCATTCATAGGCTCCATGAAAAAGAATCTGCCTTTACTGTGCGCCGAAACTCACGCATATTTTCGGCCACGCCCACAAAAACTATATATCGAAAGTTTATTCGTGAAATATTTCGTAAGTTTTTCTTGTCGAGTAAAACAGGAAAAGTTGACTTACGAAATATTTCGGCAACAATTTCGTAAGCAATTTCGTGAAGAAACTTTGCCGTGTAAAACGGCTCTTAGGGGTGACTCCATTAGCTCTGTTCACTCCACTCCAACTCCGCGCTGAATAGCCGAACCCAGCTCATGTTATTATGTAGCTATTTCAAACTATTTTTAATGTAAACACTAACATACTGCATAGTTTAGTTTTGCAATTCTAGGAGTGTTTAGTGTGCGCATATTTTTATGGGTGATGTATGTAGACCTGCTAAATAGGCTCGTTGAGTGAGGTTTCATTAACCACGTTTTTTGATATTTTTATGGAGTATTACTCACATATAGCACACACAAAAAAAATCAGCGCAATTGGATAAATATTAAAAAAGTTATGCGGCTTTGAATAATAAAACATTAGCATTAGGCCTCAGAAATTTATCGCTTAGAGATGGTATGACGTCATCTCTCGAGTCAAGATGGGCTAAAGGCCGTCACACGACCAACGTGAGAGATGCAGTGACGTCACCGCGTGTTTCAAAACTTCCAAATCTGGAGCGTTTTGATAATTTATTTAAATATGAACAAGGGCTCGGAAAATTATGAAATTTTGCACAACTGCTAAACTCAATACCTACGCTCTTTTAGAATATGTAATAAAAAAAATATGCTGTACGAGCCTATTGGTTTAAAGTTACGTGGCAACCTTGTCTACTATCCTTGTAGAGACAGACTA